TTTCACCTCTTCAATCCTCTCCCTCACTCTCTCTCTCTTTTCCTAGCCCGGCGTCCCTCCCTCCCTCGTCACGGGCCGACGCCCCACCCCGTGCCCCTCCCTCCCTCGCCGCGGGCAGCGCACCCTTCCTCTCTCTCTCGCGGGAGGCGGCGTGCCCGATGAGCGCGGTCCGTGGCCCCAGGAGCGCGGCGGGCGGGGTGGCCCGCACTGGCGCGCGGCGGCGTGTGGGGATCTCCAACGGTTGCGTCTCTCCTCCGAGCACGGCGCCCCCTCCCTGTCCCTCGTGCGTCGGCCACCATATCCAGCCTCCAACAGGCCACCGGCGGCGGATCCAACCACCGGAGGTGGCGGGGAGTAGATCCAGTCACCAGCAGCGATGGGGCGTGGATCCGGCCATCGGCGGCTGCGGGCGCTTGGATCCGGCCACCACGGAGCGGATCCAACCACCGGCGGCTGCGGGGGCATGGATCCAACCACGGGCAACGGCGGCGCGCGGGACCGGGACTCGGTGGGCTTTTTTTTATTTTGTGAAACTATTTACGGAGGTGGGCTGCTTAACTTAACTGGCCTTAAGGTGTCCACCTTGGTTAATCCATTGACCGAGGCGGGCGGACCGACCGCCTCGTCAGGGCGGATTAACAGTGACCTTTGCTGGGAAGGCGGATGGGATGACAGCCTCAGTTAATCATTTTTGCCCGCCTCGGTTTAGTTTTTTGTAGTAGTGTTTAGATGCATATGCACTAGAGGACAAAATTCCCATGAATTTATCTTCTAGTGCATGTGCACTTGAAAATTATTATTTTGATATGATTTTTTCTAAATTGAGTTTGAATCTCAATTTTTCTACAATGTATATCTACTATAGATGCGCAATGGATGTGTATAGTTTTCAGAGAACTCTAAAATATGATTTTAAAGGGGTTTTAACGATTCCACCTAGTAGAGGGTTTATGCTGAATATTTTCCCGCATCCCAAATCCTAACGTAGAAAACCAATCGTACACGGATGCCTAACACAGAAAACTAATCTTACACAATGCAAAAATAACATTATGCTGGTTTCTCCTTTGGATTATAAAATTATAAGGCCAAATACATGCTAGATACCGATGCAAGACGGGTTGTCTGCAAACCCGCGAATAGCCTTAATTTTTGCTCAAGATGGTCAAATTAAAGTCCCTCAAACTCCACCATCCTCCTAAAAGAGGTGATAAATAATGCATCTCAAATGTCTCCAAAATCCACCCACCTTTCACCACTGATCAACGGGTAGTAGCACATGACCAGCAACACACAAATGGCTAAATGCAATTGACTAGATGATCGACAGTCTACTGAGCATACACAGTCTACTGAGCATACAGTAGTTGAGCTTCTTATTTCCACAAAAGCCCCATAAAATTGGAGTATCCCTTCTCCCCTAATAGTATGGAAGTAGCAGCCCACAATCAGATGTCTCCATGAAGCATGCATGCATGAGATGTTCCAAAATATGATGCCTCTAGGAATTCTACTAGGAAAGGATACGACAAACTACCGCATCGTCGCCTGTCTAGCATAAACAAGATTTCACCAACAAGAGATGTTAGCACCGAGGGGCGTTGTCAATTGACGACTGACGCCTCAGGAAGGAAACATCACCCGCATGCATCATATCATGTAAGGATGCAAGCGAACTTGTCCGCGAAACTATAAATAAGCTTTATGTGTGCCGGTTTTGTAGGTTTAAAATCCGTAAGAGTTAAGATTATTTATGAACTTGTAGACAAACCGCTTACATCCCTACCATCATTGGCCTAATGACCGTCTTGCATTGTGCATGCACTTTCCCGTCCCCCAAATCCGTCGGGGAAGAGCCAAATCAATACGTCACCGCTAACCTGTACTGGCCTACCCGTGTCGGCCATGCCACATGTGACCAGCTCGGGCCCAACAACACGCAGGTCCGATGGCCCCTACCCTAGGGAAGCCCGCGTCGCTGCTAGCCTGTGATCAGGAGCTTATTTGGGCCTTGAAATCCACATGTGAAGCCACCGGAGGTTGTCCACGAGCCCCTTCTAGTAGGGCGGCGGGGCTTCGCTCCCGAAGTCCATCTCGTCGGCTCCTCCTCGCGTCCGGCGACCGTTTCCAGTGCCAGAGGGGGAGAGGAGCCGCGGGATGGATGGTCGGTGTACGTACCCTTAGCCTTGTTAGCTAGTTTGGAGTTAGGATTCTTTGCTTCGTTGACGGCGGCGCGAAGATCAGTAGTAGGTCCATGTGGTGCTCGCAGGGTGGAGGCGGCACTGCGTCCATGGAATAAGCTTCTCCGGCTCATTCTCCGCCTCGCTTGTGCATGCTCCGGTGCCCGTGAAGAGCTGTAGAGGTGTGAGCTCACCGGATCTAGAGACCTGGCTACTCAAGATTTCGTTGGGTTCTCTTCTTGTCCCTCCCTCGTCTCCGTCGGCATTTGCACCGATGCTAGCTTCTCCGGCGAGAGCCTTGGGAGGTATGTCTACCAATGTGTTCAGCCAAGCGTTCAACGACTATAGAGCATGTCGATGTGTTCGGTGTGCTGCTCTTGGTGGCAACGAAAATTTTTGATGTTTCTTCGTCGTGATGGAGGTCGGCTTCAAGTTGCAAGTACGGTGTGTCTCCTCTCCATCCTTTCGTATGATGGGAGCGTGTCGTGTGGATGCTCCGACCGCCGGTGGTGAAAACGACCGGGAGGATCTTGCAAGGACTATGCTGTAATTTTTCTTTCCCTCAAGGGTGTCTTTGTAAGAGCTAGAATGTAAACATTAAGATTTATATGTGAAATATAAACCCGGTTTCTAAAAAAAAGGGGCCCTTCTAGTCATTCTAAAAAAAAGCCCCTTCTAGTTTTGGACTGGCTGAGGCCTAATCTCCTTTGATATTGTTCAGCCTCCAAAAGTCAATTCTCAAACGTGTAATGATTTCATCAATCATCAATCAATAATATAATATAATGGACCCTATATGTCGTATTTCGTCTCACTCAGCAACATCCTCCAAATTTGAAGAGATATTAAATGCCTACTGGCATATAATTATAGGGCTTGGCTAGCGTACGGATGTCCGGATGCTTGCCCTCCATCCGGACACCTAGGCCGTTGTGCCTGCCTCGCCTGCTACACCCGCGCCGCTGCGTCTGTCTACCCACGCCTCGCCTGTTGCGCCCGCCCATGCCTGATGTGACTGCCAACCCATGCCTGCTGCTGTTGCGTGCCCACCTGCTGCTGCTTCACATGCTGAAGGCTATCACGCGCTCGCGTATGCACGTGGGGGCCACCAGCACCAGCGGGGACCGTCTCCGCCTGCGATCGCTTCCCGTGCCTAACATCGAGATGAGGCAGCAGAAGGCAAGGAGGGAGATGCAACATCTGATCTAGTTTTAAAACATGCAGATGCAACAATTATAACATACGTCTGAAGACCATGAAATATTAAAACATGTGTCTGAAGCACTTGAAACAATTGCAAACATACGCAACATTCAGAAAACACATGCAACATATGTATAAAAACATATGCAACATATAGATAAACACACTTGCAACATACGTCGAAAAAAAATTAAACATTGAGAACAGAAGCTTCCAACATACGTGTAGAACTAATGCAACATATGCAGCATCTCGATCTACTTTTGCAATATCCATCTAAAACACTTGCAACATATATCTGAAGCACTTGAAATGTAAGCTTGCAACATGCGTTTTCACCTTTCTTCCGTGTGACGCAGAGCAGAGCGGCGAATGGCCGGTTCCGGCCACCGGCGACCAAGGATGCTGGGGCAGCCTGGCAGCGGCCAACTGTGCGTGCGTCTGGCCTGGGCTCGGCCAGCGATGGCCTCCTCTCCTGGCCACCTAGCTTGGGAGCGGCGGAGGACGGAGCACGGCATGGCGCGGCGGGGACAGAGACACCGCCACAGTCGCCGAGCACGTGCATGGAGCTTGGAGGCGGAGGGCGAGGCGCCGACGACCGGGTCCAGTAGCAGCTGTAGTCAGTGGGGTGGCTGGCAGCATGCCTCGCCGGAGGATTCCTCCTACTCTCCACGAGGGACGGAGGCGCCGCGGGGTATGGGGGCACTGTGGGAATGGCGGCGGCGGCGCGCTAGAGTGCGTTGCGGCACCAGATAGAGGCGCCGCAAGGGATGGTGGCGGCGACGTGGCAGAGTGGCCCCGACGGATGGCCGCACGGCGGCGACGCGGCAGAGTGGCCCCGACGGACGGCCGCAGGCGCGGTGAAGCCACGATGGCGCGAGGCGGAGCCAGGAATTTTGCTTTTTTACGAGAGAGGCGGGCGAGGCAGAGTTTTTTAGAGAGGCCGGCGAATCGGAGTGGGAAGCCGTGTCCGATGGGACGAACACCCTCTTCTAAGCGTTTCCGATAATTATATGACTATGGCATGAATTGCAATGGAAATGAGTATTAAAAACATGTACATAGAGGGGCAGCAGAGGCATAGTTGTCTGGCGAGGAGTACTTGTTGAAGGGAGGGAGCATGATTCGTTCTCTGTAGAAAATGTAACCACTGAATTTCAAGGGAAATTTGTGCAAAAGTATTTTATTGTTTTTCTTACATTCATCCAAATCTACTACTCCTTCCATTCAAAATTGTAAGTTGTCTTAGACTTTTCAAGAAACATAAGTTGTTTTTAGCTTTTCAAGATACATAGCTTGTACTAATATCTAGACCTAGTGTATGTTTAGGTGCGTAGCAAAAGCTAAAAAAATCAAAACAACTTATAATTCAGAAACAGATGGGTTAATTCTCTCTGGATCCCAAAGAAAGAAATTCTCTAAATTGTATGGATTTTTCTGCTGTTTGTTGGGTGTCAATGATTTATTATCCTCCAACTAGAAATATTTGAAGCTCCAAATGGGCCCAACCGACTCCTAGCTTTGAGCTAGGCCGTTTGTACCAACGCCATCGCGTTAAAAGGCTGAGCCGTGATTCATCGACAGGTCCAACAAACCACCAACGTCATTTTGCGCCCCCTAGTTTATGCTATAAGCTAAATTTAAGACCAATCAAGTAATTATAAGTAGCCTGTTGCGCTGCCGAGCCGACAAACATTGCAGCACTTGTGGTCAGATTGAAACTGATGCTCATCTCTTCTTACATTGCAACTTTCGCTCGTGTGGTATGGTTTTCAACTGATCCAACTTCGGACTGACACTGCCTAATGAAGATGATGGAGTACAACTCATTCTGCCCATGTTTTAGTACTGACTCCGTTTCTGATTACCTGCTGCAAAAAAATTCTAACACTCTTATGGTCCATATGGAAAGCCAGAAACGACAAGAGATTCGACAGACAAAACTGGACACCGTGGCAGGTGCAGGTCTATCATGCTGTCGCTGCATACATCTCTATTGCAAATGCAAACTTACCTGCAGGTGACGAACAGATGCAAAATACACGGCCAGCCACACCTGATAACAATGAGCACAGCGGACAGAGTCGAAGCAAGTAATGCCTCACTCCTCCATTCAACCCAATGCAGGTCACACACGGAACAACACGACATCTGCAGGGCAACGAATTCATTCATCGACAACAACCATTGCTTCAACCCAATCACCAGGAACATCTTGGCCCTCCAGGTACGAACCAGTTGCATCCAGGAAACACAACACACAGTTCAATCCGAACCCAGACGAACAGGTACACTTACCAAGCATCAAGATCATACACAATTCAACTGCCAGCCCTGCTACCAGGGCCAAGTTGCTACACAGATGCATCATTAATACAGAAATGCATCCACCACATAACATTTACATCAAGGGAGTGCTCTCAGATTCCTCCTCGGTTCTAATGGCAGAAGCAGCAGCTCTAGCACTCGCTGCAGCTGTCATCTCTCGGCTTCAACTGCAGGACACAAACTTCTTATCAAATAATCAAGAGCTGGTATGCTTCTTCAACAGCACAGATCACTCCAATCCACCGGATTGGAGAATCAAACATCCTACACAGCGCTTCATCAACTGCTTACAACAACGGAATCACAGGATCTTCAAGATAGCGAGGCATCTAAATCAGACAGCTCATACTCTAGCAAAACAGGCTTTCCTAGACATTCAGTCTCATCATGCTAGTCCATCTTTCACTTGTACAAATAGCGATAATGCCAACCAGTGCCTGTTGATGGAAGCACTGCAATAATTTCATGCTAACAGCTTGATGCTGTTGAAATAAATTCATGTTTCTTGTCAAAAAAAAAAACCAAATGAAAGAACTTTTTAAAACAAAGTGATATTTTCACACTAGCACTTCATTAACAACATTACCTGCAACATCAAACATTGGCAATAACTTCTGCATAAAGATTTAGTGCATTAAGATTAGAAAGTCAAACTGTGGCACTGTCGGACTGCCACAATTACACAAATCTTACAATAAACAGTTCATTTAGCAACCCCCCTACTTCAACACTGGAAAAAGAAAGACCTCCTCAAATTTAGCAGCAGACAAGAGTACGAGTCAAGCAGCAACTACTCAAAGGATGTGCATACACCTACCCCTCTTTCTTCACGTCCTGTTAGTTTGAACTTATCAGCAGGCTTATCAGCTAGAATCTACAGTATTTTTCTCTCACAACGAAACAGCTTCAGCCGGCTTATCAACCGACTTTAATACCAGCCGAACAGGCCAGCTAGAAAATGATGCACACGCACACCTGTTCTTCCACTACAGTTCCACTGGAGCAGTGTGGTTTGCATGCTGCTCTTCTTTTCTACCTCAAGAATAGGATGGGGTGCAGGTCATCCTGGATTCTCTTCACCCGCACACCGCTGATGACCTTTTCCAATCTATTATAACCACTTTGTGGTATTTTGAAAGGCTAGAAATGATAAAAGATTCAACAATAAAACCTGGTCCATATGACAGACACACAATGCTACACCTGCAGATATACACACATTGCCAATCTATACAAAATGTAGATGATGGACAGGTACAGCAGCAGATTACAACGGTGAAATGCCCTCAACAGCCCAGGGGGCAACTACAAAAAGATATTGATATGCAAATTGGTACACTCACTTCAATTGCAGGTGAACCACGGCTGGCACTGCAACCACAGCAACTACAACAACACAGAAGAATGGATTCTGCGCATGCCAACATGCACAGCAACAAGATGACTACAAACAACAACACACAACTGCAATTACAACCTATTCGATACGGACGACCTCCGAGCTACAAAGTCAATCTACCAACTTTACTACAGGGACCAAGATGCTTCATAGATGCACCTCTGGAACCAGATCCAACCACAACATGCAGAGAAGCAGGACGTGGAGTGATCATAATCAACTCCCAAATCTGTCCAACACAATCAATTCACATCCGAGCCGCCATCACCAATGTATCATCAGGACTCATGCTGAGGCAGCGGCAGTAGCCTTTGCAGCAAGATTTTCCACTCTGCTCAGCGTACATGATTCGAATTATCTGTCAGACAGTCATGTACTGGAGAATTTCTTCTATGCTGCCAACTTAGCTTCACCACCAGACCGAAGAATAAAACCTTTCACACAAGATTTCATCAAGCAGAGAACCAAAACAAGGTCTACAAGATTGACATTGCTTTGAATATCTCAGCTCAATCTTTAGCTAGACAAGCAAAATCTTTTGTAGCCTCCATCCCACCCAACCTTCTGTATCCTACACTCACTCTGCTCATGCTCTCCGGTGCCCAGTAAAGGAAGCACTGATTACTGTAAATTGGATTCCTTTCATGCTACTGTCCGTACTCTGCTCTTAAATGAATGAAGTCTCTTATAAAAACAATACCATTGCCAATTACTTGAGGATGAAGATTCAGTGGATTATAGATTAGTAAGTCAAACTGTGGCACTGTCAGACTGCCACAATTACACAAATCTTACAATACACTTAGTTCACTTAGCAACCCCCCTACTTCAACACTGGAAAAAGGAATCAAGCAGTAACTACTCAAAGGATGCACATACACCTACCCTTGTTTCTTCACATTCAAAGGGATCGGTTTTAGACAAATCATGGGCATGATTAATATGCATAAAGTTGTGCTCACAAATTTTAGTAGTAAAATAAAACCGAGCACATCTTGAAGCCTTTTTCTCCAGCTGGAGCAGCTGATGCTGCTCTGCAAGAAATCTATCAGTCACATGGTACCTTCGACACTGAAATGTCATTGACTCCAGCATCTTTGCATTCAGTACAAAGAATGTTGCAAAGTTAACTTGTGACCTTATACCTCGATAATTAGTCAACACAACGGTCTTGAGACGGATGTCAAGGCATTTGATAAGATTATGATGTTTACGGCGCCATAAATTCTCGTCTCTCCCCTTGGATGACTGAAAAGGAAACAACAGTATACAAACACAACTAATTCAAGAAGAATTGACACAATATTAAGTCAGATCCAAAGAATACATGAACACAATGAAATAATCCCTGTCCCAAAATAGAAGTCGTTCTTGCTTCCTGAGAAGTCAGTTTTTTTTTTACTTTGACCAATTATATATAAAAGAATATTAATATTTATAATACATAATTAGTATCATTAGATAGATTGTTGAATATATTTTAATAATAAACTTATTTATAGATATAAATGTTGCACGTATTTTCTACAAACGTATTCAAAGTTGAGAAAGTTTGACATGCACACATGCCATAACGACTTCTATTGTGGGACGGAGGGAGTACTAGTTTAGTATGTTTACCTCGATATACAACTTCTCCAAGCATGGGAAGCATCTCATTAGGTCAATAATCACATCCAAGCTAAGATTGAAAATATAGACTGCTAAAATCTTGACAGTACATGCCGGTGTTGTCGAGTTAGTGACCCAGAATCCCTTTATGTTGTATGGCTGCATGAAACATGCGTTAGCCCATCTATAAATTTTCATATTTTTCAAGTTTTTTTCTGCAAAACTGAAAAGCAACTCAAAACCTGTAGGAAAGAGGTAGAAATTAAGAGGTACATCAATAATCATAGAGCCCAGCGCAAGCTTGTAGTAGTCAAAACAACTTAGGCAACCCAAGGTCTCCAGATTGGGTGCTGAAATAACTGATACTCGCAGTTGTGTGCCCGTTCGTGATGATGGGAGATACATAATCCTTTTAAGGCGAGGGGCATCCTCGATGATGAATTCTACTAAGAACGTCACTGTTGGTTCATCCCCATCATTAGCATCCACCCCAATGCTTGTAAGGCTAGCTGAGTTGATCCTGACACAGCGGAAGCCAAAGCTTCTGCGAAGCAGCAAGCCCTGGAGGACGGGAGAACCAGCAATGATGCTATGCAAGGAATCCTCTGAAATGCTGACCCATTGAAGTGCGAGCTTCTTGAGCTTGGGGAACCGAAGCGCCTGGGCGACATCGTTAGAGAGGTGGCAGTGGCTGAGAGTGGCGACGCAAAGGCATGACGAGAACCGGAAGATAGACACAGGCGGCGGTGGCGGTTGCAACACCTCCGTCGCAAATAAGCCGATCCAGCAGTCAATCTCCTGGAGGTTGTCGAGGGCGGGGGATCGGAGCCATGCATCCACAGTGGCGGGGTGGTCCTGTAGTCGTTGTGCGGGGAAGCGAAAGCGGCGACCGGGGCCCTGGTGGGCGGAGAGGATGCGGGAGACGACATCGATGGTGAGGGGGTCGCTGCCGTCGAGGTTGAGAGGGGCGGAGCGCCAGAGATGGCGCCAACGGGTGGCCAGGATTCGCGTGCGGGCGGCATCCTTGGTGGGGAGGAGAGAGATGACCTCACCCAGAATGGCGTCCGGGAGGCCGCTGATTCGGTCCACCCCATCTTCTTCTTCTCCGCCGGCTCCAGACGGCGGATCTTCAATATAGGGTTCGTCTCCTCCGGCTCCAGGAGTACTGGAATCAGGCGCACTCGTCGCTGGTACCAGCGGCGAGATGTTTGCTCCACCCCCCTGTTCCGTGCTCTTGGGCGTCTCCGTCTTCTTTCTCTTGGCACGGCGAGGCGCCGCCGCCAGAGGCCGGTGGGTTGATTTGGGGCGAGGCGGGTAAGAGCATCCCAGCAGTCCCAGATATAACTCCCCCCCCCCCGGTAAGATAGTATCACTTTCACGAGTTGCTCCAGCAGCAGCTCAATATATCTCCCTTATTAATACCTATATAAAAGGTGAGTTTCACAGTAGTGTAAGAGAAAATATAACTGAAAAATAATAACTAGTTGGGATGGTCTCTATAATATTGGAGAGTTGTATCTCTCTCTTTCTTTGAGGAAAGATGAGAAAAATATTAGTGATCACTAAAAAAAAGGTGAGGTACTATAAAATTACTGGAGCAAGAAAAAAAAATAGTTATTTCTAATATGACAGTTTTATACAAATATGTGGAGGTAGTGTGGAACTACGGGAGATGCTCACTACTTTTTTAGATTATTGAGATAGATGCTCCAACAGATAAAAAATCTCCCTCAATAAATAGGACCCACATGTTAGATTAATTTTTTTTATCTTACCTTTCCCTTTCATGTCGTCTTCTTCCTGCTGCGAGTCCGCACCACCGACGCGCCCATCATCCCCGTCCCGGTCCTGGCTACCACCGCACCACCGATGCGCCTAGCCCCCTACCCTCCTCCACCTCTAGCCAGCCCAAGCCATCGATGGCGCCCCTGGCCATGGCCACGACCATGGCGCCTCCTTTCCTCTACCTCTTATCCCACGGCCATGGAGAGCTTGTCTTTTTCGTGTCACGCCTCCTCCACCGAGCTCGAGCTAGTCATGGCATGGCGAATGAGCTCACAGATCTTAAAAGGGCGAGGTGCGGTCGGCTCCAGCATTGTAGGTACCCATGGCTCTAGGCGCGGCAGATTTGAGAAGGCCATGGGGCAGCGACAGCGGTAGCGGCCAGCTCCAACGCAGCAGCTCCATGGACGCAGCCATGGATGGATGGAGGCGGACTTGGGGAACCCCCAATGGGCGAATCGGTCCCGCGATTGAGATGGAGGTGGAGCGGCCGGATCCTACGTGGCCGGTGCCGCTGGATCCCGCGACGGAGATGGAGGCACGATGCGGCCGGTCGACGGCCGGCGAGAGCACTGGGAGAGGGAGGCGAGAGGGCCACCGCCCGCCACCACCCTAGCCACCACCACGCCCGGCCCCGCCGCCCGTGTCACGCCATCCATGCCTAAGCTTCACCATGCCTAGCTCCGTGGCGCAGCTGCACCCGCCAGCTGCTACTGGCAGCGTTCTTGCGATGGCCAAATTCGAGCGCCATGGCTGTGCAGAGAGGAGGAAGCGACAGTTATGGTGGGCCCCCCGGTATTAGGGGAGATACAACTCCCCCTTCATTTGAGGGGAGATGGGCTGTTTTTTGGTGGCCACCAAAAAAAGGAGGCCATATTGGGGAGCTGCTGGAGCAAGAAATTTGCCTCATCTCCCCCAATATGACAGGTTTATGGGGATTAGAGGTCGTATTGGGAAACTACTGGAGATGCTCTAAAGGGCCAAACGACGGTTGTCTGAAGCTCCGTAGGGTTTGGGTGCGTGCAGCATCAAAGAGGCCTCCCGTTTCCAGCCCATGAGCCCAGGCAACGAATTTCGATTTTCTAATGCAGCACAACTGGTAGATTGGTAGACGATAATGTTGCAAACTTTGAGTCATCTACTCATCTATATTTTTTGGCTGATCTTTTCATGCATTTTTTTCATGGGGGACATGAGAAGGGATGGGAGCACATGATATGCTCTCTACAACTTTGGTATCGTTATCTCACAATTTAGTGTTCAATAGATTAGATCATATGGTAAACAGAGTGAGACTTCAATGTCTGGAACCAAGACGAGCCACAAGGCCAACGATTGGTTTGGAGGCACTGCTAGAGAAAACTAGTCAGTGGACTCTGATCCCTCCAAATTGTCGTTTGGTGGACGGAAACATTACTAAAGCTGGAATCAAAACCTAGAATCAAAAAGCTTTGATCTAGCCAAAGCTTGAGACTAGAATGGAACTTCATCGCCACTGCTCTTCTACGTAAAGGGTTTCATGGTCATTTCATCAGCCTCATCCAACCATGCAAATCACGCCTTCTGGCCAACCTTCTGAACCTTTTAGACCGCAGCGTGGCATTCGCCAGGGATGCCCTCTGTCACCTTATCTTTAGGCCATTGCAATCAATAATCTGTCCACCAGGCTACAGAACGAAATGCAACCTAACAATCTTTAGGGAGTCTCCTTAGGCCTGATATGCCCACCGATCCTTTGTGGCCACGCTTCTATGGTCGAGGCTAATGCAATCTGTCACATCATACAAGAATTCTGCTCTGGAGAATTCCAAATCTCCACAAATCATCCATACTCTTCAGTGCCAAAGTGTACAATACTACAAAAAATGAAAACAAAACCATCTTCCCAGTAAATGATCCGGCTCCAAACACCATGCACCTTGGACATCATATCCTCTTCACCCATCAAGACAAAACCAAAATTTATGATTTCATTCTAAACAAGTTTAGAGGCAAACTCACTACTGTCAAAGCAAAGAACCTCAACCATGCTGATAGACTAACTTATATCAACTCTGTTTTGACATCCATTCACATCTATTATATGTCTTTGCAGGAAAAGATAAATTCAATCATTAGACAATTCTAGTGGGCTAGCATCTAGGATGGCAACCCAACATCCCCCATTGCCTTCCACTCCTAGATGACATCTGCCAACCGAAGAAAAATAGTGAATTAGGCATCAGAGATCTCCATGCAGTCAATAAAAGCCTCATCCTTCACACTGCTTGGAACATTTGCCCTGTTTTCAGCACTACTTCAGCAGTACTTTTCAGCGAAGGAATGATGTTTTCTCTCACAACAAATCAGCATCAGTAGCAGGCAAATTTCAGTGAAACGAACAGGGCCATTGCGATTGCCAAAAATAATAATCTCACTCAAATTCTCAAAGAAAAATACTTTCCATACAGTTCCTTATGGACCGCCAAATATCTCGGTCCATGGTCTGTCTTTTGGTCTTTCATCCTTCAGGTAAAAGACTTTTTACATCAAAACTGTATCTATCAAATCCATAGTGGTCGATTCAACCCAAAACTCCATGCCCAACTCTGTTGCAAATCTTTGGCACCCAAACTTGGAACAATGATCTTCTCTCTAACATGTTTAGCCAGGAAGCAGTTAATACGATCATGCAGGTACCCACAATCCACAGCCAGTGGCGGAGCCACTGCCTGGCCACCCCGGGTGGCCGGCCGGGCTCGTTGCCGATGTTCAAAGGGAAGTTTTCTTTATATATCAAAGTAGATCTCTATAATTTTCTAGCTAAATATTTTTGTATAATAAGAATTGCCCAGGCTCCTAAAAACTTCTGGCTCCGCTAATGTCCACAGCCAAGAAAATGACATACTCATACGGAAGCGTGCTCCTAGAAAAAATCTCATATATCAGTAAATTATGGTTACCCTGTCTCAGGCGACTCGGGGAGCGCCCGTGAAAGCCCTAGTTTGGTTTTCGATAATTGATGAAACCCATTTGACTAACCCTATGCTCTAAGTGTAAATTTGAGATAGGTTGGTCCAATCCAAGTGATAGAGCAAGATGAAGTCCATGGTTGTGATGATGGATATGAAATGATGATCAAGCTCCAAATTTGGAAAAGAAGACAGAGAAAAACAAAATGGACTCACGGCAAAGGTATATTTGATAGGGTCATTTTGTTTTGCCACTCAAGACATCTTAGCAGGTGTGAGTGAATTTAGGATAGATGGTTTTACTATTAAGAGGGGAGCTCTTATCGGACAACTCGGTCATCTAGTGCCACTAGGTGTTGGACTTCATGCATTGCATTTAGGGCTAGTGCACATTCGGTGAGAAGTGATTAACCTTTGAAAAATGATTGTGAAAATGCTAACACACTTACACGTGACGGTGGAACACTTGAAGTGTTAGCACATTTTCAAAGGGGAAGAACAGAGGCAAAATTGAAACCACGCTCAAGGTGCTGCCCCTGGAGGCACCGCCGTGCTCTGTCCGATGCACCGCTACCCCTAGGGCGGTGACTGGGTGGCTCGGTCTATAGCAGCATGCATGGGGTGGTCACCGCCCTTGGGAGGGCGGTGCACCACCAGGGGATGTTCGGTGCCACCGCCATTTATTTCCAAAGAGTGGGGTAAACCGGGATGGGCACCACCCATGCCTATCCGATGCACTGCCCCATTTTTCCAGAGAGACCTGGTTTTAGAGGTTTGGTTGGGCTGGTCACCGCCCCCTTAGGGCGGTGCCACCGCCCCCTGTCCGGTGCCCCAAACTAGCCATTGAGATCGACCATTGGAGGGCACCGCCACCCCCTGTTTGGTGGCACACTGCCTTGTCCGGTGCCCTCACAGAATCTGTCTCCAAGGGGTAACAGCTCTATTCTTTGGTGAGGCTTATAAATAGCCCCCTTGGCCGGCCATGGCCACTCTCTTGGAACCCCAAAGTGCTGAGATTTCATATTGTGAGCAAGAAAACACACTCCACTCACTTCTACACTTGATTTCTTCATCTTGAGTGAGATTGGAGAGCCTCCAGTGTATTGTATAGTGGTTTTTCATCTTGTGGCACTAGTTGAGCATTTTAGGCCATTGGATTTCTTGTTACTTTTGTGTTTGCCGACACCTAGATGGTCCGGTGTTTGGAGGATTGTTGAGCAGCTATTGGTGGTTGTTGTCGGCTCCGATCATGGTGATTGTGAGGGGTTCTTGTGCCTTCCCCGTGGGAGATCGTGAAAGGTAACTCTAGTGGATTGCTCGTAGCTTGTGGATCATCATCTTGTGTTGGTTGTGCGGCACTCGATTGCGGGTTAGGCGTGTGATGCCTATTAGCGCATGAACCACCAAGTAAGTGAATCGCTACAACAAGGACTAGCTTGCTGGCAAGCAAGTGAACCTCAGAAGAAAAATTATTGTGTCAATTGGTATTCATTGTGATTGATTTTTTGCTTGCCCGGTTCGGTATACACCCCACTACCTCTCTTGTATTACATTGAGATAATTTCATGTGTGCCACTGAATGATTCTATAATTCCGGGTGTGCCACTAAATGTTTGGTCTGGACATGAGTACCATCAGAAATATTTTTACATTCCATGCGTGAATCAACACAGTCAGACTTTCTTACGAGGACTAGCTTCGGGTCTTGCGGCAGTGTGTCAAGCTCGGGTGAGGGCAGCGCGCGCAAGCTCTAGTGAACCTCGGCGCTTCGAAGAAAAAGCGTTATTGTGCTCACAATTGGTAAAAGGCATTGTGAGAGAGATTTTTTGGGAGAAAGGGGAGGCTGGTGGGTGGGGCCCAGCAGCAATGTGATGGGAGGAGAGATGAAGGAGGGGCATAAGCATCTTTTTATGCTGCATTCTAACGGCTGTTAGATGGCAGTGGCACACATGGAACGTAAAAACATTTCTAGTGGCACTCATGTCCAGACCAAACATTCAATGGCACACCCGGAACTATGGAATCATTCAGTGGCACATACGGAATTGACTCTATTACATTCATATATTTATCTTGTGTAGAGCTTGTGTTAGTCTATCTAGTTTAGTAGCTTAGCTTAATTAGTTGTAATTAGTTTCTAGCTAGCTCAAATAGTGTAGAGAGTAGTGATATAGCCATTGTGTGCTTAGTGATCATAATTAACAACAATTGTTAGTAGGTGGATTGCCTTTTGAGTAGAGCTAGAGCAAAACACATTTCACCGTTTAGTTGACTAACAAAGTTGCTCTAGTGTATTTGTAGAAATTTTTATAGGCTATTCACCCCTGTCTAGCCATTTAGAACCTTTTAGCCTAGCCACCGTCACTGAGGGTTCTGCCCTAACTGCCTGTCCTCCCACCGTTGCTGCTTGCCGACAAGCGGCGGCGGCGGCTAGCGGTGGTGCCCAAAAGGTCACTGCCACGGCTCTCCCCAACCCTCTTTTCTTCCTCAGCTCTTCCCCAAGCTTCGTGGAGCTCCCATGGTGACCGACATCGAGGTTAGTCATTGGATCTAGTGTCCCCATGCTTCCCCAGTCCCTGCCATCTTCATGTTTCCTGTGCCTGTTTGGGGGCTGGTGGCCACGATGCGCGCGAGGGGGGCAAGCCCCTGCCTGGCCAATGGTGGCAGCCTAGGTGCAACCCTTGCGTGTGGCTGAGATGCGGCTAGGGCATCGGCCAAGGAGGCCCTAGCGTTGCCTCCTATGCGGCTGTCGATGCCGGTAGGGTGTGATCCAAGGACACATGACCAAGATGTAGCTAGC